AAATATTCTTCAGACGTTCTAAAGTAAAGGTGAACAGCGTTTTTCTTAAAAATATCACTGTTACGTAGTAAAAAAAAATCCGGAAAGTTCTCGCTTCGTGATTTGTTCAATACTTCGAACACGGCTCGTGTCCGTCCCGACCATCTGTCAAAGCCTTGTGCTGCGGGCTCACGAACTTCGCGCCGTCACCTCTCATTGGTCAGTGTTTTCCGTTAATAACTCGTAAACAAAGCCGCAGATTGCATTTTCGCAAAGGATAAAGTTACTTCAAACGACCTCAGCTACCCCTCAATTTCGGCTGTTAAAATAATTGTGGAACACCCTGTATAATATCTCATTATCCCAATTATCTCGAGCGGTGCCAATTAAAAAGGAAGAGTTGTTTCGAATTACGGTAACGTCTGGCGTCGCCAAATAAAATCGCAATAAATAATAGTGAACAATAAATAAAAGTGAAATAAATCTGTACTTCTAAAACTTGTGCCAGCTTCTATTTCCAACATAGTTTCCTGCAGAGCCTATTTGCGCGATTTTCATTCGCATGAAACGAATCCACGCGGAACGGAAATTCGCGTGAATTGAGTTGCACACGGTGTTCTTTGGAGCAGAGTTGTAAAAGGTGGCCGGCGGTCACGCAATTTTGTCAATCGCCGCGTGAATGCGACTGATGCCTCTGCGGTGTCGAGCGAGGATGTAAAAGATAGTCCGCGGCGTGCGCGTGGATCTAATTCAGGTTCGTATGGAGCATTGTGCGAAGATTGAATAGATTTGACGCAGACTGTGAAAGAGTTCGGGTAACGGCACGCGGGCCTGTTATCCGCCTCGAACGCTGGTAATTCCCCATTTCCAGAGTCTGTCGGGGTAATAGGTCGTCTCCCTCGTATAGGAGAATCGCGGGGAGGGCTCGCGATCGTGCATTACCCGGGCAAAGTAGACAGGATAATGCATGACGGAGCAAAGGTTTATCATTTTATCGCCGCGCGCCGTGGAACCTAATGATACGTGAGAAATCTTGCGGCGCTAAGTTCCGCGGTACCGTGAGACGAACGGCCCTGGCATCGGCACCGGCGTACGACGAACCGGAAGATCGATACGATCCTCTCGCGACAACGGAACCACAATATCCACGGATCCTCGTTAGCGTTGCCAATTTGACGCGGCTGCCGGCAGAAGGCCGATCGTTGAACGGGCGATCCGCGTTTATACGAGAGTTCGATTGGCGACGACAACCTCGGCGAGAAGGTGGCTCGGCTCGCAAATGCCGAAGTAACCGGAGGCGGTTTTGAGTTTCAGGGACAAACTAGCGTCCGCGATACGTGACAAAGTTTCCTTCATCCGAAGTTCACGTTCGATTCTTATCGGTCCTGTGACACGGCCACCGAGCCATTGACCCGCTGCCTCTCTCCTCATCGCTCGTTGTCTCTTCTTGTCCTTCTTCCCCCCCCCCCTCTCTCTCTCCTCGTCGCTCGTTGTCTCTTCTTGTCCTTCTTCCCCCCCCTCTCTCTCTCTCTCCTCGTCGCTCGTTGTCTCTTCTTGTCCTTCTTCCCCTCTCTCTCTCTCTCTCTCTCTCTCTCTCTCTCTCTCCTCGTCGCTCGTTGTCTCTTCTTGTCCTTCTCTCTCTCTCTCTCTCTCTCTCTCTCTCTCTCTCCTCGTCGCTCGTTGTCTCTTCTTGTCCTTCTCTCTCTCTCTCTCTCTCTCTCTCTCTCTCTCTCTCCGTCGCTCGTTGTCTCTTCTTGTCCTTCTTCCCCTCTCTCTCTCTCTCTCTCTCTCTCTCTCTCTCTCTCCTCGTCGCTCGTTGTCTCTTCTTGTCCTTCTCTCTCTCTCTCTCTCTCTCTCTCTCTCTCTCTCCTCGTCGCTCGTTGTCTCTTCTTGTCCTTCTCTCTCTCTCTCTCTCTCTCTCTCTCTCTCTCTCCTCGTCGCTCGTTGTCTCTTCTTGTCCTTCTCTCTCTCTCTCTCTCTCTCTCTCTCTCTCTCTCCTCGTCGCTCGTTGTCTCTTCTTGTCCTTCTCTCTCTCTCTCTCTCTCTCTCTCTCTCTCTCTCCTCGTCGCTCGTTGTCTCTTCTTGTCCTTCTCTCTCTCTCTCTCTCTCTCTCTCTCTCTCTCTCCTCGTCGCTCGTTGTCTCTTCTTGTCCTTCTCTCTCTCTCTCTCTCTCTCTCTCTCTCTCTCTCCTCGTCGCTCGTTGTCTCTTCTTGTCCTTCTCTCTCTCTCTCTCTCTCTCTCTCTCTCTCTCTCTCTCTCTCTCTCTCTCTCCTGAAGAGAACAGACGCGCACGCCGGTAGGAACGCTTCCAGATACGATTCCCGCTGCTGGCGATAGTTGTTTGAGCAGAAAGAGACGACGATTGGAAGGTCGAAGCGACGCACGGTGCGACACGCAATGGTCGAAAATTGAAATAATCGTTAAACCGGATTTGATCTAATTATTGATTACTTGATCCGATTCTAATAAGAATCGGTAGCGGATCGATAAAAGTCGCATCAATATCGTAACCTAATTAACACCTTCACTAATATAAGGGAAACATTTTTACACATTTTAAAATTGGTGATTGTCGTATTTAACCCTTTGCACTCGAGTGGTGACACTGAGGCACCACTAAAAAATTGTTATATCAGTTCTAAGATAATTTTTATATTATCAAAGTTTATATTATAAACGTTATTGAAAGTGTAATCGTTGTATGAATCACGAGACTCAATTTCGTACGCGTAAAATGCACTTTGTCTTGCAAAATGAAAGTACTACAAGTCAGAAAAATGATTTTAGATTTACAGTTGAAATGGCTTCGAGTGCAAAGGGTTAATTATTGGTTATTTTTGGTACAAAATGCAATGTCCCAGCACACAACATGCAAAAAGCAGCAAAAATGTAAATATGTGCAAATTGTACTATGTGCAATGTTCATCTTTGCTTTACAACTAAAAGAAATTGCTTCGCAGAATATCATAATTAGCGCATCATTTTGTATAGTAATCTTATTTCATAATTTTGTATTATTTTAGTTAACATTTTGTTATAACAAACCAATAAATAAAAGACTAATAAGCCTAACCATAATTCGTGTTACCTTTATAGTCCATCGGGAAAAATATTTTCCATAAAATTTCAAAATTCTCACGTATTTTTCTTACGATTTTTATTTATTTTACGTCTAAACGAACTAAACTAAACAATTACACACCAATATTTACTCTTAACAACCATATGGTCCTGTATGGGTTAATAAAACATCATCTCACTCGTTCGTTGCACACCTTTTTTTGTTATCGTTCCTTAAATAGTGTTCGTTATAACTTATAACTTTAGCAACGGTTCGTATGACTTTAATCGATATTTTATAAACATCCACCGTTCATGGAAACCAATTTAAAAAAGAAAGGTTCAACACATCCTGCGATGTTGGTTGTTTCGTATCGAGAAGGTTAAGGGTTACATTGCTATATAATTTTGTTCTGCTACAAACTGCTACAACGAATATTATTCATTTTTTTCTTTTTTTTTGTGCGGCGAGTAGGTGGCGGCGTGCTCGGAGCCACTGATTGGCGGGCGCATTCCGAAGCCAACAGCGAAACTATGAAATAATAGACGAACGACCGAACAAAAAGCGGGACTACAAAGTATAATGGAAGAGCGTGTTTGCCGGGGAAACGCCGTTTGCAATTGAATACCGAGGATCGCGTTACAGAGCGGAGCGTAGCAGCGCAGCGGCCGAGTCGAGTGCGCAAACACCGGCGACAAAGTCACAGTCGACTTCGTACGCGATAATCGCTCACCTCCCCGCACCTCCCCATTGCCGATGCTCGTCGCTCGAATTCCATTCACGCCGGATCCAGTTTCTCCAGAAGTCGCAGGAAAACTGCACCGATTTGCAACGACCGGAGGATTCTCGAAAGGTTCCCCGCAAAAATCGCGATCAAATTCTATTGGAACGCCGAAGACTGGTCAGTGAAATCGTGACGCTTTAAAGGGAAAACTGCTTTTGCAGCAGAGTCAGCTACGCGGATGAAATTGCACGAAATGGCGCACGAAGTTCGGGAAACCATTTTGTCGGAACTTTTGAACAATAGCGTAAAACTGTCAACCTAGGAGCTGTCTACAATTTCCAATGGTTCGCAGAGTAATACCGGAAAACTTCGGCAGAGTCTAGAAGCCGTACTTACGGATTTCGACTTTCTCGGAACGGTGCAGGTAAATAGGCAAAAAGATAATGGCGATGTTTAACCCTCGGACGGCGTACCATTTTCACGAATGTGCCATTCACGATGGTTAGAACAGTTCTGAGCTTTGTTCAGCAATTTTTCACAACATATTTTTTAAGATACTTCTCGCAGATTTGTCCGCCTTTCTGCTGTTCCTATTATACGAACTGTGGATTTTACGCATTTATGGTCGAAATTAGTAGATCAAATGCAAAACGGTAGAAACATTCGAAGAATTTAAAAATACTGTTGCGTTATTTTCGACTTATTAACAGGTTGAATGCCACCGGAGTCACCGGTGACCAGCACTTAACTTGGCTGTGATCAAATTGATAAATATATTATTATAAATAAAATTATTATTATATATTATAAATAAAATAAATTATATTATTATAAAATTGATAGAAATATATTATTACCATCGTCAATTCAAACGGTGACCCCTGTCGCAATTAACATGTCAAACATGATTATATACTGTAACTTATCTATTACAGATAATATTTCAACATTATATGTATTACATAAAAGAAAATTCATCGTGGCGCCACGGACAATTTCTGTAAAACCGGCGTGGCATTCAACGTGTTAAAATGGTCAAGGAACGAAATAAATACATCCTGCATGAACGCAATAAATATCCTGCATATCGTAATCGGTAGAGGCAACTTTCATTTTGCATAAAAATCATGTAAGAGCGACTTACTTTATTCAATCGCCGAAGATTTGAACTGGGCGATTTAAATATTCCGAGTCAAAATTGACCGCGTTGCGAGGGTTGAGGAGCACTTATCCGACAATCTGGTATTTCAGACAAATGCAACTTTGAAGAGAACTTCGGAACGTAGCGGCTTTCGTTTCGAATGGAAGAAGCAGCGTTTAGCCGAGCGAGAGTCCGACAAACGCGCTGTGAACGCAGCCTAAGTTGCACCGAGGGGCCGTCGTTTCGGCGTCGCGCGAATGTATCCGAGCCGCATCGGGCCGAGTCGCGTTGCATCGTCCAAGTTCTCCACGCTAAGAGGCTTCCAGCTGTGGAACCACAAATTTGCGTGGCAGTCGCGCGTCGCGTCGCGCAGCGTCGGCTAAATTAGAAAAACCGACTGACTAACGCGGGCCGGTTGCTTCCCCCCGTCTCATGTCCCCCATCGAATCTCGTTAAAATAACTTTTCGCATTATCGCGACCGCATGCGCTTCCCGGAGGAACGACCGTTTTCCAAAGCGATCGGGAACTGTCGTGGAGCCGCGAACTCGCATGAAAAGTTTATTATTAGGATCGCCGCCGGAATCGTTCGTTCTTGAAACGCTCTCCGCGGGCCGGGCCGATTCCCAATTACCGGGCCGGAACGTTAATTCGGCGGAGTCGAAAGTCTCTTACATGATCAAAGAATTCGAGATTGTGTTTCACGGGTGTAAACGAGAAATATTTTTGGTGCTGGATGTCGCAAGTTTTCGATAGTCCGCGACAGAGTTCGGCGTGTATTCGAATTGTTTCGAATTAAGTATTTCTCGTAGATAGTTACCCGAATGAATTCCTTTTTAATCGAATATTTTATTCGAACAACGATTATTCATTGCTCGTCTTAAATTATTTTGTCTGTTTATTCGAGTAACGATTATTCATCATTCGCCATAAATTATTCTACCAATATATTCAAATATTGGGTTGGCAACTAAGTAATTGCCGATTTCAGTTATAGATGTCTCTCACTCCCATTTTTATGATATCCGTAAATGTTATATTATAAAATTATTATTATTATTATTATTATTATGTTATTTTTTGTTATCCGTGAATGTTAGCAACTGGACAAATTGAATGCAGCGGTCGAGGAAAAGCGACCAGAATTGGTCAATCGTAAAGGTGTCATTTTCCACCAGGACAATGCTAGGCCGCACACGTCTTTGTCCACTCGGCAAAAATTGATGGATATTGGTCGGGAATTGATGTTACACCCACCATATAGTCCTGATCTCGCGCCATCGGATTACCACTTATTTCGATCCCTGGACAACTTCCTTCGTGGTAAAATTTTTAATGACGATGACGCTGTAAAATCTCACTTAACTCAGTTTTTGGCCGAAAAGGATCAGACTTTCTACGAGCGTGGAATTTTCAAGTTGTCAGAGAGATGGCAAAAGGTCATCGAACAAAATGGAAAATACATTACAGATTAAACTTCGTTCCAAGTAAACAAAAATGTTTTATTTCATTGAACAAATCGGCAATT